CAGCAAAATTCTCATCAGTTGTAATAAAAACCGAGTTCCCTGGGTTTACTTCTTTCAAGTACATCCCAAACGCATTAATCATAGCATACTCATCTCTGTAATTTCCTTCCATGTCCTTTAAAACCATTCTTTTTGCCCTTTCACATTTCTTGAAGTTGACATTTGCCCTAAGCTCATTATAAGAAAATGTCATCATGTCTTTACATTTTATGAAAGGAGTGGCATAAATTCTACTTTTAAAGTACTCAGCCACCATCTCATAAGTCATCATCTTGTTGTTAGGATTTCTGAAGCAAGTGTGTTCAGGGTAGTAACTCTTTACCTTGAAACTGTCGTCCCTCTTCTCAAATGAAGCATAAATCTCCCAACTACACAAACCAGACTTGCAAACAAACCTTTGCCTTTTAGGTTCATTCTTAATGTGTATAAGAGGACATCCTTTCCTCACAGAATAACGTTTGATTGCTTCCTTGAATTGTTTGGAACTTTGAAACCTCATTCCAACTTAAAAAATAGGTACATCCCAAGCAGGATTAAAGTAGACATTTGCAGCTCTTCTTGGTCTATCTGCTGCTCTAAGAGCAGAAAAAATGTCATTTTCAGAATCTGTTGATGAGCCCCTCAACTTGCCAGCATCATCACTTGGAACATATTCATTATCTCTCCCATCATTATCACTGTATAAGCACTCATCATTATCAACTGGAACTGATTAGGATGGATGTACTGGATCTCCCTTCTTTCCTTTTTTAGGGGTTAAGTCCTTCCCCTTGTAAGACTCCCTACCTTGTGGCAATGTTTTATACCTCTTCTCCGCAAGCTTGGCCTTTTCCTTTCTCCTTCTGGCCTTCTCAACAGGATCTATTGGAACCCCTTTGCTTGTAGATGTTGAGGTTGGATCTGTTGCTTTCTTTGTGGGAGTAGATCTAGGAGTTGGTTTCTTTGCAACAGTTTTGTACCTAACCCTTGTTTTTGAACCCTCAAAACCTAGAGGAACTTCTAATCCTTCTGTTGGTCTTCTTAGAGACCTTGCAGTAGCCTTCACAGCAATGGCTTCATCATCATCTCTGTCACTACCATCAACAGGATCTGCTTCTTCATCTGTTGAGCTCCAATCATCAACAGAACACTCTTCTTCACAGCCACCTCTATTACTGCATTCACCTCTTTCAAATGAATTTCCAAATTTACCCTTATTACCACCAATTGGCCTGTCTTGGGTTATGTTCCCTATGTCACCTTCCTCTTCTCCCTCATTAACTTCATTGTTACCATTCTGGCCTACCCTATCTTGTGGTCCCCAATCCTCATAAACTACATCATTATCAATCCAACCTATTGGTAGAGGAGCAATTTCAGCAAAATTAACCTCATGGTCCACATAAAACTCACATATCATCTCTTCTCTGACAATCCTCATAACATCCCTAATACTATCATCACCTGCCAAAGACTTTAAATGCCTAGGCATGCTTGCTAACATTCTTTTATAGTAAACATTTTTAATCATAAAGTCCTCATATCCTAAACCTACAATGAAATCCACGATGACATCAACATTCAACCTATCACATCAAATGCATGTTCTATACATATTCCCCCTTTGTACTCAAATGGAGGTCCAGCCACGAATGTCCCCCTATGGAAAATGGACAAAATCCCCCCGTAATCATCTGCCATTCTGGTCAATGGTAAGACAAATCAAAATTAATTGGGTCCATCAATGATAAAATATATTATATAATCGACAAAATGCACATGCATCCAACACTTACAGTCAACGACAAACTAGAAAACTTTATAAACAAACATTTTCCAAGAGAAAGTGACTGCAAAGGCTTACCTTTACTTTGTCCTTTACTTTGTCCTTCACTTTGAACCCCACCACCAACTGCAACACTGAGTGTGCGAGGGCCCTTTAAAGCTTTAGTATTTTCTTCAGATTCACCAAAAAAGAGTTGAGCCAACTCTCGTCCCGTACTCAAAAGTGAATTTGGTTCAAAGATTTCTTTGAGAAATGAGTTTTCGATTTTTCGTTGCAAATCAGAGTCGAAGACGTAGGTTTTCCTTCTTCCTTTTTTAGGGCTAAATGGGGTCCATGACAAGGAAAGGGGAATAAAGGGTGACACGGTGTGTGAAACGGGTGGGATTGATACACATCAGCATCCAATGTGTGAAAAAACGACACGCTGGCACAGGCTAAACGGAGATCGTGACGGTGATGACATCGCCTGTTAGATAATGATTGATTTGGGAAGATCGATACTTTTGGGGTGTCATTTGTCCTTGCTTTTTTTTGAGGGGTGGATCCGTCCCTATCCATATTTGTCAAGGGATGATTTGAGGGTTCTGCCATGTAAAGGCAAGAAAACCGTTGGTAGCAGTTCACAACCAAAACAAACGGCCCATAATTTTTCCTATTGTTAAGATGTGAACATAATTATTCATATTATATTCATAATTATTGTAAATATTTTATATTTTAAAATATTCTCTTAATATATTTTATACTTTAAAATATTCTCTCTGTAAACATCTATATATAGACTATTGTACATATAGTATTATTTAATAAAGCAATAAACCTTTCTTCAAATATTTCTTCTCTTCTCCTATTTCCAACATGGTATCAGAACCCAAATTCTATCTTGAGAAGCCCTTATTAGCTCACCTGACAGGATCTTAAGTTGAAAACGTCGGATCTGCATTTAAGAAGGTATGTTAACCCACGTGATAAGGTCCAACATTAACATTCATAGTGGGTCTACATATGAGGGCGTGTTAAGCAAGAAAATCTCACATCAAATATAAAAATAAGAAACTTGTGGGTTAAATATAGAAAAGACTACTCCACCTATTGTTAATTGATTTTAAATTAAATGCAAGCCTTGTATTGAGTCTATATGCATAATTTTCACACCAATGAGTTCTCATTTAAGTAAATTTACCATTTTCTAATTTAAACTATATTAATCTATTAAATACTATCAATTGTTGGATGAAAAAAATCATTCTTTATTATAATGGATTCTTCCTAATTTAATAATTAATGTTTTGTAGAATGAATTGCAAAATAAATTTTTTATAACTTTTTTTTTTTCACAAAAAATAAGTTACCATCAGTCCAATTGAAAGACATGTTTTCGTATCTAAACAAATTTTTTGGTAGGCGCAAGATACAATTCATAAATCCACCGATCACATGTTACAAGTTCGAATGACAAATCAATTATTAGACTTCATTTGGAAAACCAAAGTTTTCGGTCATATGATTTTTTTGTTTAAATATTCAATCACATTTACCCATCACCATTAA